GACAACCCTGGTGTCCTGATAAATAGTATAAATCATACAAAAACAAAATAAGAAAATCTGCCAAAGATGTTTAGCAGTACAAAGTAGTCGATAAAGTTATTTGTATAAATCCACAAGAGGCACGTGTCATTAATAGCCTATGGTTTAATATTTCTCTGTATGTGACAACCCTGGTGTCCTCATAAAACGTATAACTCATACAAAACGAAAATGAGAATATCTGCCGAAGATATTTTGCAGTACAAAGTAGTCGATAAAATTATTTGTATAAACCCACGAGTGGCATGTGTCATCAGCAACCTTGCAACCTATGGTAAAACATTTTTCTTTGTGACAACCCTGGTGTCCTGATAATAGTATAAAGCATATAAAAAGAAATTTAGGAAATGTACAAAAGATGTTGAACAGTTCATTAGTCGATAAACTTATTTGAATAAACCCACGAGAAGCGCGTGTCGTGCTGTCTTTAAACACCAAAGGCGGGAACAGCTGTATCTGAAAGGAATATCAATATTATGTCCATATTCCTTCTAACCTGTAAATTAATGTGTTAATTAGCTATAATCAATATATCGTTTAATCACTTCAAACTACACGTAAAATCTGTTCACTAGTATCCTGTTACCAAGAAATGGTAAATCCTCGCTTTTTTCCCGATATGAGATTTACGTGTCTCACACTAGAGTTGAGACAAGCTACATGTGCTCTTTGCGCGTTCTGAAAACAATTCAAGTGACCCGGAAATGAAATTATTTGTATTAGGTCACACACATACACTAGTTTGAATGCTACTGAAATCTTATGTTATCATCAAAACTGAAACATACTGACCTACAACTTATTATATATATTTATATACGTTATATAACGAGTAAAATACTATTTGACGTTTTATTGACATGTACGCTATATATTTGTAATATTATATCACAATCCGTGACGCGTCAAGGGCGCGGGCCTCGTCACTATTCATACGCCATCCACGTGTTTTTGTTTAAGAATAATGCACTTTGTCTTGCACTCGGACAAGGAAAGCATGTTAAGAGAAAAATAATCATTCTACCAGCTTCGTGTTTGACAATTGAATAATTGAGATCACCCTATCTCAACCCATCAAAACAATGAAGGCCATTGGATTTCTTCTACAAATTTATGTGTCCGTGTCATATCGAACTAATTGATTACCTATTGCCATTTATCTACGTACACCATATAATGATTGTTGTTTTTATGCTTGTCTGATAGTGACAAGACGATTATGGTTTGGCAAAAGTAGTTAACTAGTGTCTAGTAACAACTGTATAATCTATAATTTTCACATGAATAAGGTTGGTTCCGAATTCCATCAATAAAGCATTCTTTATCCTTCCTCTTTTTTTAGATCTTGAGAAACACTGACAAATTTAAAAGTTGTTCATTCATTGCTTTTCAGTTTCGATAACACCGAACCAGCCGAAGTGTTACATCAACAGAATTACACGTACAAGTGAAATTTTCAAAGATTGATGAGCTGACGGGTTGATGGATAAAAGATTACGACTTGGTGCGAATTGGAGAAAGAATAAAGCTGTGTTTATTATAGTTAGATCCAGCGTGCCGAGTCACGTCTCGCCGCCGTTGGGGATTGGAAGCGTTACCCGTCAAGATAAATATCGTCACAAACAGACTTTATTTTTTATAAATGAGTACACATAAAACATGGCTTCTGTCAGAAAACCGACACGTTGCCGTCCCGGCCTCATTAAGGATCAAAGTCATATATTCAAACCGTCGTTCATCATAATTTGGATGGTTTATGTTTCAGGATAGACTTCCCAGCAGCATCCAAATGTGCGAGATCGGACATTGCAGTACCATAGGCAATCGCCCATTAGGGGGCACTTGATGTGGGCACGTGTAAAATGTGTGGCCAATTCAGTGGAATATCGCAGGTGAAAGAAAACAGACATGGGTCGTTGTCTTTTTTCCGTTCAAATAACCGAGAGAAAGTCGAACGTTATCAATCCATAGTTACGAGGAACATTTTGCAACTCCAGCTTCACATCTGGTTATACAAAATTCCATGTACATTTCACGATATTGCTTTCTTCACCATCAATGGATTTGAGAATCATGGCACTTTCAATGTGTTTTACCATTTAAATAATATTATGTCCATTTCTACCCTAAAGAAATGTAATTTGAAGTACATTCTAGTACTTGGAATACATTTTTGCCGGATATATTGTAGTATCGGAACACAGCAGTAGCGGGTACATTGTAGTACTTGGAACACAGTATTGATGGATACATTGTAATAAATGAAATAAAGTATTCCCGGGTACATTGCAATACTAGGAACACAATACTGCCGGGTACCTTGCAATACTTGGAACAAAGTATTGCCGGTTACATTGTAGTATATTGAACAAAGTATTGCCGGGTACATTATAGTACTTGGATCACAGTATTGCTGGTTATGTTATTATCCTTGGAATACAACATTGCCCGCGATATTGAGTATCCCAGGTTGACAGGGAACAAATATTTGCCAGTTACGGAGTATTTCAGGAACACAGAATTTCACTGGACACAGTATGGTCAGGTACCAGGATAATACACATTTGTTTGACAAGTATTGTCGGGTGCAATTCTTCGGAATTCTTCTTCAATTGTCATGTGTACTTGGTACCTAGATTGAGTTCATGTATCCAGCTTATCTTCAGATCTACATATATTGCTTTCTTACAACGGAAACATCGTTTGATAATAAGTGTCTCAGATGTCAGAATTACATGTTTGAATACCCTTTCTAAAGGACTTTTTGATCTGGTGTTTTTCATGACAATCCACTGTATCCCACTTTCAACTCCCCATCCCTCTAAAAACAAAAACCAAAAAGAAGTTTCTTATGGAGAAGGTTCGCCAATTCATGGTAGAAGATCTTGTAAGCTTAATTCGACGGCTCACAAAACTATCTTGGTATCCACCTAACTCACTTCGATGGTTCACAAAAGCTTTCTAATCTCACTTAGAGAGCTAGTCAAGTTTTTTGGGGTGCGACACGAACTTTTCATTCAGTAGCTAAAATTGATTTCGAATACAGTTTTCGACTCGATCAAGAGCTGTATGTGACTGTAAACATTTCATCTATTGCCTGATACGGTACACTGCACATAGTGACTTTTCCGTGACTGCTGTTGCGGACAAGAATTGTATTTCGGATATATTGGCATCACGTGCACTCTTTTCAAGTACCAGCTGTCGTTAGGATTTAGATGGCGTTAAATAACGGTTAATATACAGTGTGAAATTTAAACAAGTAGAGTTAGGAACCGATCTTCAGATCATCAGATCTATATCCAAATTGAAATCAAACACCCCGAAAAAACTAGCAATTAAATTGTCGCTTCAACAACCAATTGAATACGTCTAACACTTTATTGGGAACTGTCAATGTGCCCTAATGAATCATGTAAAGCAATGCTTATGTATGTAGTTATTCATTTTCGATTACAAAAGCCACAAGTGCTCTTATTAATTATTTGTTATAAGTATTACAACTGAAACTCAAGATACGGAGTGTAAGTGTACACGCTTGATGGAACAAAAAAAGCATAATATGGACATTTGAATTATATCATGATCCCATTCCTATCTGTTATATTGAAAAAGAAATGTTTCTTGCCATTGATTCTGTATGAGTTATTTTTTCTTATTTGTGAAATATTGATATTTCCCAAAGTACCTAGTGGTACCCATAAGGGACGATAACTCTGGTGGAGATCATGAAAACACAGCTCCATAAAATTTGTATAAACTTTACTATGTTGTATTAATCCTAGCCTATCTGAATTTGATTACATATGTTCGGTACATTGTACTTACGTATTGCATATTGAATTACTTGAAGACTTGTCTCTTATATGTGAAACTTAAGTAACTACATTTAATCTAGTAGTAACAGAGCATGCAAAACAACAAATTCAAACATCTCGAGGACTGGAAACTTTGACATGCGCGCTTGTGAAAATAAAGATTTTACGCCACTGGATGAAATACAATTATTGCTAGTGAAGAAACGAAGAAAATCCTTGAATGTGTATCATTTTCAACGGTGACATATAAATAACCTTATTCAAAGCACTTGATCCCAAGCTCCTTTTGATAATTGGACACTAAGCGTTTGTATTTTACTGCTCGTGTAAATATCGAATGCTGCAAATCGTAATTCCTTACTCAGAATTCGCTCTGTAATTAAACAACAGTGTTTTGTATCATTAAAGGACGCAAGTACATTAAATCCGAGAATAAGACCTGACTACCAATATCGCTATGCGGACAAATATGTCCTGCAATTTGTTATACTCTCTTGTAAATTCCAATCCGCGATAACCTTGCGGTATATTTGAACATGTTTGTTTTTCTGGTTAAACATGTTTACTAGGTCAACATAAATGTATTGACTGACTTGTGATTTGTAAACGGAAATCCAATTCATAAGTCATTGTGCTTGAAAACCTTCCGTTGGCCATTTCAATAGTATTTCAGTATTCAATACAACAGTTGTCCATTTCCCAATCAATGGTTCGAGGCAAAAACAATGGTTCTTTGTGTGAAATATTGGTACGATCATGTTTTTGTGTTAAAGCAACAGTGCTTCATTTTAAAGAAATACTGATTTTGCGTGGGTGAATATCGTTTGCTTCAATGGTGAGTAGGTAATGTTTAATGGGTTTCACGATCTTTAATGGTCAATATATGTGCTTCTCAATTTTTTATACAAATATTTCATTGTTTAAAATGATATTTCACCGGTCATCATAAAAGTGGCTCATTGGTCAATGATGCATTATTGTTTAAAAGAATGACATTCTATTGGTTTATACAATAAACAAAATTGTATGAATGCTAATTAGGAGCCATAGAAGTAAGGAATAGCTACGGATATGCTGACAAATATCTTCAAAATCAAAACCAATCTATAATTTTTTTTTTCTCTTAATTAATCTTTAACTTACCTGACAAACATTTCTACTCCTGTCTCGGCTATCTTTCTCTTAATACCTTTCCAAGACTGTTTAAGTTTAAACACCTGTCTTGCATTGAGAGGCAGACGCGGGTCAACACTCGGAATCGTTGTTACACCGTTATCCGTGAGGGGGTCGAACTCCTTGTTTTCCGTAACACACGGTGTCTCCTTCGTCTGTCTACATCCCATCCTGGCTGTTAATACCGGGTATTCACAACTCCATACATATGCATCTATTCATATATATATATACATATATCACAAATAGAATTATATTCCGTCACAACAATATCAAAACTAAACACAAATAGATTCCCAACACTGCATCACGGAAATTAAATTTTGTTTAAAATGATTAAATTCTTTAATTTTGAAAACCACTTTAAAATCTAGTCAGAATATAATTAGTTGTTGGTGGATTATTCCGTGAGACAGACACTTAATGCTAGTATATTACAATTTGCCGCTACGAGTTTGAGTGATCTGTTCGACGTCCTCGATACCAACTGAATGATCCGTCAGAGCCCTTGTTCCACTACCAGCCTATGAAGCAGCGAACTGTAGAATACACACAGAACAGCGTGATCTATAGCGTGAAGTACAGATCGATCCCACACCCGACTCCTCTTTTTGTGTTTTACAAACGCCTTGATCCACCAGCTGAGTGTTATCTTTAAAGCGGAGTCGGTCGTTGATTTAGGCCTATATATTGCTTCGACGTCACAGAGAGGTTTGAATAAATGTCTTTATAGTAAGTTAATTGAGGAAGCAAGATTCGGAGGCTTGGAACACGGGTCAGCAGCACTATTAGTCAATAGTATATTGATCGAGTTGAGGAACTTAATGACTTAATTACGATTCATTTACCCCTACGTAAGTACATATATTGTGTATAATGTGCATTTTCAAGTCTGTGTATAAATATTTCCCATTTTCATATTTTCTTTCATTTTATCATGATTTTTTTGATTTTTTTTTTAATTTGAGTTGACATTCAATCAAAATGTTGATATTCTCTTGCAAAAAGTGTTGCGCCTTTGTCTCGGCTATAGTATAGACTGTTGCCATTGTGACATATTTGTAATATCCCTTCGAGGAAATATCAATATTTATCCTATATCATAAAAAAAATGCGAACAGTTAGACAAGCATTGATGCTTTACACGTAGAATATTGACATTGTACAAGTGACTGCCCAAAAGGCTGTTACTGTCACTAATTACCTAGGGACTACAAAAACCACATCAATATTTTAAACAGTAGGCGATCGTTTGTGGCATTTTTTTCATTTAATTTGTAGTATTGAATACCAGCTGCTAGCGAAACTTGATATCTTAGTTTAACCTTAACTACTCGGCATTTAAATAACAGGTAGGTCGGGTCCTCGGTCTTTTTATTCTTTAAATCTATATATTTGATGATCAATGAAATAACAGGTAGGTCGGGTCTCCGGTTTTTTATTCTTGAAATCTATATACTTGGTGATCTATGCCGTTTAGGAGAACAGATGCATCGGGTATTTTTGTGTGGATGAATCTCTGGTGAAGGTAAGTTATATATTTGCACTGCACTGGCAACAATGTAACCTAATCCAAACGAAACCGTATCCTGCTGGATATAATAACACTGATATCCCCATATCCAGGCAGTGGTCCGACATAGATTGAGTACATTATTGACAAAAAGTATATTCATATCATGAATTTTTTTTTGTCGTACTGTGAAACATATATTAGTGTTACGTGTAAATCACACAAATAGCAAAAACTTCATATTTAAATTGTCATTAAACGGACGTAGTTTGAGACCTGTTGCACCGTGGGTAAAACAGATATAATGAATTCAAAGTATTTGTTAAGCTAACTGCCCATATAGAAATCAAGATTTTGAGGTATCTACAGCTAGTTGTATCGTATAAAATGTCAAGATCACATATAAATATATACAATTATAAAAAAAAACACAAGTACAACTTCCGCTAAATTATAGGATCGTACCCCTATGACAGATCTGCCCGGACTGGTAAGCAGGTTTCCACTCCAAATCCTGTTGATGACCTGTTATCCGTTTGAGCAGATATCAGACTGCCTCGTCCATTGTTCCTGACTTGGATTTACAATTTTACTAACAAATAATCCAATTGTTGAATTAAATCTCTTCATTCTAGATAAATGATGAAAAAAAATCTTGATACCACGAACAAGGCGTCGGATCGATAAGAAATTTAGTTTGAAAACCGTCGGAAATGAATATTAAATTAACGTCCCTGTCTCTCGTTCTTATCAGATTGTCACAGTGGAAATTAACTGGACTGTATAAGACTGATACAGCTTTACTTCTCAGCAGCAAATTTCATCAGGTAGAGAAAAACAAGATTTAATCACATCTGATATGATTATTTAAATCGTTTAAACGTGGTTTAAAACCTTTCATCAACTATTTGAGAACGCAATAATGGGAGATGACAAAACCACGTATGGCGTAACTATTCATTTTTGTGATGGAACCATTTACCTTTTTTAATATTGTCGTTAGACTAGCTGTCTTTGGTTTAACGAAAATTCTTATGGAAAATTCTTCATTGGAATGCATTTTAAGAGTTAACAGAAAATTCAGGTAAAATAGTGTTTAGTCGGTTTCAGGGGCTTTCTTTGTTTACAACACAGGAAGTGGTGACGTAGCAAACATTCGGTATCACAGTTCATGTCTACACTTTGTGTCTTTCTTTTAACTGGTTTGAACGGTTAAAGGCTATTGGCCGTGGTAAAACAGTATACATCATCGACCAAGGTTTCTGGTTTTTATCGCTACCAATTAATGTTTAAACAGGTGCTAACTTCATCTCAGACTCGAGGCTAGATAAGGCAACAGATGTTTGTCCGCCGGCAGACCTCACTGTGAACTTTTTGACTTATGATTTACTAATCTTATACACGTGTCGTTTGTAATAGACCTCCAGCAGCGCACCTGGTACGTTACATAATATCAAACCGCATCATTTAAATCGAAACATCGACATGAACTTTGACCCCGATAATATCCCAGTAACAACCATGATCTTTGACCTCAATTTAAAGCACCCTGGTAAGTCCAATTATGAACATATCTTTCATTCATGTTGATAATGTTTTGTGTTATATATATATATATGTGTGAATCTTAACCCCAACATCTGTTTTTTATGAGTAATTACAAACACCATAACCCTGCGAGCCTCATATATGCATTTTTATATTTCACTAAAGTTTGTACGTTAACAGAGACAGGCCAGTTCATCCCACCTCTAACCTGCGTGAATTCTTTTGTTATGAAAGTTATAAAAAGCCTTGACCAAACCGAAGTTTATGTGCAGCTTTATAATGTTCAACGTAAATTGAATATACCAGTATTAATCAGTAAGGTTAGGGTGATGCGTGACGCATGTCCTTTACTAGATTCATATCTACGGTGTTTTTCATTTTGATGTGTTTTAAATAATAATACATGGTACTTAAACACTGAAACAAACATCTTTGTTATATTGTATGTTTGTGTTTTATACATTGTAAGTTTGTGTTTGGTACTGGATAAGGGTTTGTTTGATACATTGTAAGATTGTACTTGATACATTGTACGTTTGTGTTTTATACATTGTACGTTTGTGTTTTATACATTGTACGTTTGTGTTTTATACATTGTAAGTTTGTGTTTTATACATTGTAAGTTTGTGTTTTATACATTGTAAGCTTGTGTTTTATACATTGTAAGTTTGTGTTTTATACATTGTACGTTTGTGTTTTATACATTGTACGTTTGTGTTTTATACATTGTACGTTTGTGTTTTATACATTGTAAGCTTGTGTTTTATACATTGTAAGCTGGTGTTTTATACATTGTACGTTTGTGTTTTATACATTGTACGTTTGTGTTTTATACATTGTAAGTTTGTGTTTTATACATTGTAAGTTTGTGTTTTATACATTGTAAGCTTGTGTTTTATACATTGTAAGTTTGTGTTTTATACATTGTACGTTTGTGTTTTATACATTGTACGTTTGTGTTTTATACATTGTAAGTTTGTGTTTTATACATTGTAAGTTTGTGTTTTATACATTGTACGTTTGTGTTTTATACATTGTAAAGTTGTGTTTTATACATTGTAAGTTTGTGTTTTATACATTGTAAGTTTGTGTTTTATACATTGTAAGTTGGTGTTTTATACATTGTAAGCTTGTGTTTTATACATTGTAAGCTGGTGTTTTATACATTGTACGTTTGTGTTTTATACATTGTAAGTTTGTGTTTTATACATTGTAAGTTTGTGTTTTATACATTGTAAGTTGGTGTTTTATACATTGTAAGCTTGTGTTTTATACATTGTAAGTTTGTGTTTTATACATACAATGTAAGTTTGTGTTTTATACATTGTAAGTTGGTGTTTTATACATTGTACGTTTGTGTTTTATACAATGTAAGTTTGTGTTTTATACATTGTAAGTTTGTGTTTTATACATTGTAAGTTGGTGTTTTATACATTGTAAGTTGGTGTTTTATACATTGTACGTTTGTGTTTTATACAATGTACGTTTGTGTTTTATACAATGTAAGTTTGTGTTTTATACATTGTAAGTTTGTGTTTTATACATTGTAAGTTGGTGTTTTATACATTGTACGTTTGTGTTTTATACAATGTACGTTTGTGTTTTATACATTGTAAGCTTGTGTTTTATACATTGTAAGTTTGTGTTTTATACATTGTAAGTTGGTGTTTTATACAATGTAAGTTTGTGTTTTATACATTGTGTTTTATACAATGTAAGTTTGTGTTTTATACATTGTAAGTTTGTGTTTTATACATTGTAAGTTGGTGTTTTATACATTGTAAGTTGGTGTTTTATACATTGTACGTGTGTGTTTTATACAATGTACGTTTGTGTTTTATACAATGTAAGTTTGTGTTTTATACATTGTAAGCTGGTGTTTTATACATTGTACGTTTGTGTTTTATACATTGTAAGTTTGTGTTTTATACATTGTAAGTTTGTGTTTTATACATTGTAAGTTGGTGTTTTATACATTGTAAGCTTGTGTTTTATACATTGTAAGTTTGTGTTTTATACATTGTAAGTTGGTGTTTTATACAATGTAAGTTTGTGTTTTATACATTGTAAGTTGGTGTTTTATACATTGTACGTTTGTGTTTTATACAATGTAAGTTTGTGTTTTATACATTGTAAGTTTGTGTTTTATACATTGTAAGTTTGTGTTTTATACATTGTAAGTTTGTGTTTTATACATTGTAAGTTTGTGTTTTATACATTGTAAGTTTGTGTTTTATACATTGTAAGTTTGTGTTTTATACATTGTAAGTTTGTGTTTTATACATTGTGAGTTTGTGATTTAAACATTGTGTTATACATTGTAAAGTTGTGTTTTATACATTGTAAAGTTGTGTTTGGTAGATCGTACGTTTTTGTTTGATACATTGTTAGATTGTACTTGATACAGTGTAAACTTGTGTTTGATAATTGTATGTTTGTGTTTACTACATTGTAAGATTATGTTTGTTACATCTGATACTACGTTTGTTTAATATTTCATACATTTTACGTGTAAGTTTGTTTAGGATACATTGT